TACAGAAGATCATTCAAAATTAAATGGTTACAGAAGACCATCCAATACACAGTTGGTACAGAAGACTATCTGTATTCAATACAAAGTGGTTACAGAAAATAATTCAATACACAGTGATTATATTTCTTAACAGAAGCTTTGAGGAGGTTATTTCTTAACAGCAGCTTAAGTGTCCATTTCTTGAATAAAGATAGTCATTACCTGATCAATTTTCTGTGCAGACATTTCCCCCTCCAACATGTAGTGCAGGTATTCAATCTTTCCATCACAGACTTCCATCAACGTTGGCAGTGACTGAATGGGTGCCTTGAGGTCGGGGAAACCTTTAGGCCTAGCTTGTTGGTCTCTCAATCTGTAATGTACAAGATACAAGGACATTGAAAACACAATATTTCATGTACAAGATACAAGGGCATTGAAAACACAATATTTCATGTACAAGATACAAGGACATTGAAAACACAATATTTCATGTACAAGATACAAGGACATTGAAAACACAATATTTCATGTACAAGATACAAGGACATTGACAACACAATATTTCATGTAAAAGATACAAGGACATTGACAACATGATATTTCATGTACAAGATACAAAGAAATTGAAAACACAATATTTCATGTACAAGACAGAAGAACACTGAAAACACGCACTATCATGTACAACAGTGGTTCTCAAACTTTTTCCAGCCACCCATCCCATAAGCCCGTAAATTCTCCCTCACCGACCCCACGTTGAACCAATAATAAACATTTTAATAATAAAATTTTCAAGATATTCTATGGAAAATAATTCAAAAAGGACATTTATGTTAAAATTCCTATGACATCTCTTAGCTTTAAAAAAAGCATGTAAATCTCAAAATCACATTCCACCAAATATAATAATAAGAATGCCAAAAAAAGCATTCATTTGGGAGAATATGATAATAAATGTCATTCTGAAGGCAAAACCCTTTGGTTTAAAATAGTTTTCCTTGAATAAGCCCAACTACAACTACTAAAACAACTACTACTAGAGCTACTACAAC